AAATAAAAATAAAAACTAATGGACATACAAAATATACCTATAGAAATTGTGAGGCTGTTGGCACGCAAATATGAATCAAACAACTGTTGCAAGTCATATATTAAATAACTAAATAAATAAATTTTATAAAAATAAGTTAACTCGAGAATATGATGGCAAGTCTGCGATCAGCCGAAAAATTATGCTTGAACAGTTCATGACTAATTCAATCGCGTCGATCCGACGAAAATAAAATAAATAATGTATAAAAAAAAGGAAAAAAAAGTACAATAGCTCAGCAACACGTCACGCACACTGTATTTTATTATACTTGAGCCACGAGTCTTTTTTCCTTTTAACGATCAAAGCCGAAGTCACCAAAGTTTACTTTATCATGTGCCACTCTATAAAATTAAAGTAGGTCTCGAAAAACCGCAGTTGCGATCCTATATACCTACTCGCTGTCTCAAACTCTGCTCAAAGAGTCATGTAGGCAGCCTTGGAACTGTATTTCGATGTTTTTCAGACATCACAAGTTTGTCAAGCATCAATATATTTTTATTATCAAATGACACATTTTTCGTGCAGATTTAAAACACAGAATCAATATGGTTTTCATAGTTAAAAATTTTTTAAATATTATTTTACGTTACAACGATAAAATAAAAGAAAAAAGTAAGCGAGGAAGCTTGACAGTACAAAAACAGCGTTTAACTAATCTATTTTCTGTATTTATCGAAGAACATCATATCGGAATGTCAAAGCCATTGTCAAGTACAGTGTGTGGTTGGAAGGCCATATATGCGAATATTAATCGATATAAATGTAATTTAACGTTTCGCTGGATCTATGTACCTACTTACATATGTGCACTGAAAAATATAGATACCCATAAGTGTAGTTATAGACTTGGAGTACAATTTAATAAGTTAAACGCTCTTCATGAAAAAAGCACGTTGTGCATACATCGTGTACGTACACAATCATTTTGTTTTTTTTAAAAGTTTTTTATTAATACGTGGAAGACTAATACCAATTAATAAAACTGAATAGGAGTCATTACGTAAAAAAGGGCATTTTTGAGTTGAAAAAATAATATTAAATAAATAAATAAATAACATTTTTTTTGAAATACACCTCTAAAATCACTTATCTTTTTCCATCAGGTCTAAAAATTATGGAGAAAATTTCTAACGCGTGATTTCCGGCTTTAGTAAATTTTTACTTAAAAACAGGAAATATGAAGAAAAATTAATTAAAAAANGTACACTGAAAATGTTTGTATCTGAAAGAAAGATAAAGTCAAAGATAACAATTATGACACATGTTTCCTAAAGAATAACGAAAACATTAAGACTCATAAATAAGTGGAAATTCATCGATATTAAAACATACCTTAATTTTTTTGTCCATTTATTTTTATTATAGTAAAGTAAAAATGTCGTATAGATATTCAATTTGGCTATCGACTTTGATGACTTCCGTTTTGAAGTTTGACTTCTGCTGGGGGTCTGGAAACCCACTTCTTAGTTGTTTTAATAGCTATTCATATTTGAACTTCAAGCTAACTATAAAATGCGTTTATCAACACTAATTAAACATGATATTTTTTTTTACTGTATTAAATCGTGAGGCCAAGAAACAAATGATATTTGAGTGGTTTCTAAATTAAATAGATTTCAATTGAAACTTTGTTTATTTACATATATGACAACAGTCTTTCTGACTTTTACCGGAAAAATGTGTCATCGAAATTCAAGCAATATTTCATAATCTTATAAGAAACTACCTCAATTTGGCTCAAAATTTTCGTGAGGCACGAGGTATATTAAAAAAAAAATTATTGTTTTTCATTGAAATTTCATTATAAATTAAAAAAATAAAAGAACGTGTTCACTCACTATTTTATACATTTTATCAAGCGTCAGCCCAATCTCTCACTTTTTATATACAACAGATGCCCTTGAACAAATTTGCAAAACGTGTAATGCACTTAAACAAGAGATAAAAAAACAATCCCCTCCAATCGACATTAATCAAGCTGATTATCAAATAGCCGGTTTCTCAGATTATCACGTACTCGAGCTCATTGAGGGCACAAGTATAGTTCTTCCGGTGTTCCGTGATTTCGGAAAATTACGTAATTTTACGTATCAAAACGGTGACTGCCGAAGAGCCATTACGGCTTACGGCAAAATAAATTAAGTTTTTATACATTTAAAAAAAAACACACACACAATATAGAGCAATGTATCTCTCGATAAAGTGCGTGTTTATCACACTGTCAGTTCTTCTTTTTGTAATTTGTAAGTATGAATATAATACATATGTTTCGTTGTTCATTTGCGTGTAATGCAATCTAATACGACTTAAGGTCACTACCAGTAACAGTATTAGTATAAGAGTAACTAAAAGTACTATTGAATTTTTTTTTTTTTTTTTTTTTTTTTTTTTTTGATGCATTAGCTTTCAACGCCTCTATTTCAGAAAGTCTATTCGTTGGGTGATTGGTTAAAACAGGGCACATGGCTTGTTTAGCGGGTATTTAAAAAAATCATCGGGTCAGCTTTTAGTAACATTTCAAATAAATTATGTTCGTACTATGATAATTATTAGGAACAACACCATTTCATTACTTTGTTCTTTTAAAAGTAATGAGTAAACTAAAAATTGTACGTAATTAATGTTACTGTATAGTTAAATTAACGAGAAAAAGTTTATGTATCATCCTTTGATAATTAACATGTAGGCGTTTGAATTAAGAGTACTAAGAAAAACTTTAACATAATTGTCAACAATGCAATGAACGAATAGATAATATTTATTGTCTCCGTTTGCTAAGACCAAAAAACCAAGCGAATAAATATCAACAAATGTTTTTCCATCAGCGTAGCGTACCTTTTAAATAATGAAATATAAAAATTGTAAGTGGTCATAGAGAAGCGCGTCTAATACAACTATGTAGGTAATACAAAAAAAAAAAAAAGATTTAAAAGTTGTGTTTCTACTGCACGTTTGTACCGATGGTTAGCAAAAAGTAATTTCGGGATTAAAATACACACTGATGAATTATATTGTAAATTAATGATTGAGACAGAGTACCCATCATTTTAATAAAAATACAGATACATAATTATTTCGATATCCGAGTAAAGCAAAAATTTAAAACCAGCTTTGCAGTAAATAAAGTGACAATAAAATCAAATTAAAAAAAACAACCACTTTTCATTGACAATGATGAATGATTTTCTCGTACAGCCACCGAAGCTGTGCTGAGATACCAGGATGAGCGGTACCTCCACCACATCGCCGACACTTACGACTGGACGACGCATCCTTGCCGCAGAAACTGCCAGAATAATTCGAGCCCGCTCACCTGTTACTACGTATTGGTCATCGAGAAGTTCAGTTCCATGAGCAAGGCTTGCTACGACTGCCCGAACAATGTGACCGACTGCTTCAGGCCTCACTGCATTTCGGCCGACGGTATACAAAGGAGCCTCTACGTCGCCAATCGACAGCTACCTGGACCAGCGATCGAAGTGAGTTGACAGTGTGGTTTGATTTGTAAAAACAATTGCGATAGCACGTCGTAACAGAAATCATCAGAAGTAAATGGTGCACAGTAGCCGGCTGCTCCTTATTAAACCAGCCAAGTGGTGTACTCCCGCTTTTTTTCCTTTCGAGGCTTCGGAGACCAAAGTCGCATATTTTTACATATATTTACTTCTTTTGAGCTAAAAAAACCTGTGCATCGAGTTCAAGCGATATACAATAACGTTCAATGGCTCAGAAGTCTTCGAATAATATTTAAAGTGGTCAGAAAAATTAAACAAAGTTGAAAGTTTCAAATGCTGTTAACTCCAAGGTTGTTTGTGGATTTTCAGAGAATGGATTTCAGTTTTGGGGTATAAAGAAAAGATTTCAAAAGGTACGGGATCGAAAAATGAAAATCGAGAAATACCGGACACCCCAATAAATATTGCAGAGAACAATTTCAAACACATTTTACGTTTAAAGTGTTTACATAAACGCGTATATAATATTTAAAAATTATGCTATGACAACTTGACCTTAGAAAAAAAATGTACCTCGGAGGGAAAGCAAAACGGACAAAAATAAAACTGGTTCCCTCAAGGGAAACGAAATTGTCGAGGTGATCAAATAGAGAAGTGTTGGGTAATATAAAAACATACCTCAAATATTTCGTATTTGGGCTGTACTCTTCATAAAATTGAGAAAAAACAAAATTGTAAATCGTTTCTTTTTATGACATAACCTTTTAAGTACACTGAAAATGTTTGTATCTGAAAGAAAGATAAAGTCAAAGATAACAATTATGACACATGTTTCCTAAAGAATAACGAAAACATTAAGACTCATAAATAAGTGGAAATTCATCGATATTAAAACATACCTTAATTTTTTTGTCCATTTATTTTTATTATAGTAAAGTAAAAATGTCGTATAGATATTCAATTTGGCTATCGACTTTGATGACTTCCGTTTTGAAGTTTGACTTCTGCTGGGGGTCTGGAAACCCACTTCTTAGTTGTTTTAATAGCTATTCATATTTGAACTTCAAGCTAACTATAAAATGCGTTTATCAACACTAATTAAACATGATATTTTTTTTTACTGTATTAAATCGTGAGGCCAAGAAACAAATGATATTTGAGTGGTTTCTAAATTAAATAGATTTCAATTGAAACTTTGTTTATTTACATATATGACAACAGTCTTTCTGACTTTTACCGGAAAAATGTGTCATCGAAATTCAAGCAATATTTCATAATCTTATAAGAAACTACCTCAATTTGGCTCAAAATTTTCGTGAGGCACGAATCTGTAAGATAAACAAAAAATAGAGTTTCTTAAAACGAGAGTCCTCGAAATTAAAATCTTTGCACAGTAGGCATATAAAAAAAAAAAAATGGCACACGCAATTCAGACACTTGGTGATCGCGCGAAAATCACGCGATTCGCGCATCACACTTCATTATTTTTGACCCAACTTCCTCAGGTCTGTCACGGAGACATAATCGTGGTAGACGTAAGAAACGTCATGTTGTCAGAGAGCACGGCGATACACTTTCACGGGGTCAAGCAAAAGGGTACCCCGTACATGGATGGCGTGCCATACGTCACCCAGTGCCCGATACTCCCGCTACAAACCTTCAGATACACATTCGAAGCGTCCGATCACGGAACTTTCTTTTGGCACTCGCACATAGGTTCGTTTCGCCATGCAACACACATATACATCACCTGTACGAATTTTACCAGCAGTTGTTGCCTTATTGATCGCAGGACATCAACGGGCCGATGGTCTGTTTGGCGCGATGGTCGTCTATCCGAAAACCGAAGAGGACCTCTCGGCCCAACTTTACGATGACGACGATCACTACATGATTATTAACGATTGGTCGCAATACACTGGCGACGCGGAAATGATAAAGGCTTATTACCACGAAAGTGCCACTGCTAGACCGACTAACATATTGGTTAATGGCTTGGGTCGTCAGATCAACAATATTTACGGAGCCAAAGTCACCAACACTCCAGTTTTCGTTTTTAACGTTCAACCGGTATGAAGATGGAATTTTTTTTTTTTCATCATGATTTAATTTTGTCGTATTTAGTCTTGCGTTTGAAAAAAGTCGATTGTCGTCTTTTTAGAACAAAAAGAACAGATTTAGGTTGATCAATGCAGGGTCCGAGGATTGTCCGATCGAAGTATCAGTCGACGACCACACACTGACGGTTATTAGTCTCGACAGTCAGGACATTATTCCAGTCGAAGGTAAAGACTTTTCGATTTCCAAAATTGGGTATAGTTTCGTTGTAACAATAATGATTTTGTATTTTTGCCATCAAAGTCGACTCGATAACCATTTGGCCAGGAGAGCGCGTCGACTTTATCCTTCGTACCGATAAAAAGATCGGCAACTATTGGATCAGATATCGCGGCTACGGTCTATGCCAAAACACTAACGCGACCACCAACCAAACGAATCCTGGTGTCTTTCAAGTGGCGGTACTGCGATACGTGGGTGCGCCAAACGAAGAACCCGATTCTCCGATCGGATACGACATACCAGTCAACAATAATACGACTCGGGTGAGTATGGCGCGCGTATAAGGTAAAATTTATACACCCTTCGCGTTCATTGAAAAATGTAAATTGATGCGAATTTTTTACTTCGACAGGTCCTGAATCCGTATCAAAAAGGAACGGAGGATCCGCCCTTCACCAATATAAATATTCCACAGTTGGTGGCGGCGAAATCTAACGATTTGACCGCATTGACACCGAATGTGGACCAACAAATTTACATCAATTTTGATTTCTATCCTCTGAACAATTACGATTTTCATCGAAAATCACTGTTCGGATTCTATGAAGGTATGCAACAGAAATTCGTCGTAGAAAGAGGCGTGTTTACTGTGTATCAGCAGCTACTTTATTTATTTTTTTCTTTTCTTTTTGGTTTAATTAAAAATCAACTTTGTGTTGTTTCAATGCATACGCACACAGTTAATAAATTACTACAATAGATGAAAATAAAGTGGTCGGTGGGGTAGAAATTTCCACTGACGTAGGAATGTTAGCTTCAAAACGATGATTGTAGCCACGATAATTAGTGAAAATCCTCATATCGAATGCCCTTAATACGTACATGTAAAGGACCAAGGACGTTCTATGGTCAACCTGCTAGCCTTTTAGTGAGGGAAACTCGAGGGATCGTGCATACGCTTTCTGTCAAAAAATATCGAGATTTTTTTTCACATATTTTTTTTGATGGGTTGAATTTCCAAGGTGCCAATAACCCGCTGATCCGATTTTTAAGACAAACAGAGGATTTTGCCGGATTGTAGTCTGGACCTCCAGGGGCTTCGTGTCCGAGGAATGCCAACACCTGGCCAGCTCATCCATAAAGTCACTGTCAGTTTTAAAAATGGTCAACACGGTGAGTTAGATGGTTCATTGGGAAAGATCCTTCTATCAAACTTTTGGAGATTAGTGACATAGGATACGGAAAAACCCTGCAATGGGCATATCGGAGATCTTATACAATTAAAAAAAAAAATGACAAAACAATTCCCATAATATCAGGGGAGGGGGAAAAAAAAATCCACAAGGAATAACACTATATATTGTAACACGAATTATATAAATATTACAGTGCCACCTCATCGTAGAATCGGTACTCTGCAGCTGAACAATATAAGTTTGAAATTGAAGAGCTTTCCCCTGCTGTCGCAGCGCAACCAAATCAAGCCCGGAGACTTGTGCAACGTAGAAAATATCCCGAAACATTGTACGTCCGAACATTGTGCTTGCACGCATGTTATTCCTTTGAGGCTTAACGCCGTCGTGGAGCTTGTGTTTGTTGATGAAGGTAAAAAAAAAAAAAAACGTGAAAATTTTTTTGGACATAAAGCAATAAATATATTGTACTTTACACGCGAGAAGAGTATGGACAAAAAAAAATTGTATTGTTTGATTCATCAGGTAAATACGTGATCATAAATCATCCTTTTCATCTGCACGGTCATTTCTTCCGTATTGTTGCAACGGAAAATTTACAAGGAAACATAACTATCGATCGTGTCAAGGAGTTGGACAGACAAGGCAAGATCAAACGAAATTTGATAAACGCGCCCTACAAGGACACCATGAAAGCGCCCGGAGGAGGTTATTCAATTGTGCGCTTCGTGGCCAACAATCCTGGTAAAAATAATTTTCTTCTTCTTCTTCTTCTTTTTTTTTTTTTTTTTCATCGATAAGTAACATAATATACGGAATAAAAACTTGTGATATAACTCACCAGTTAAATAAATACAACTAAAATAGTATTCATTTTTAATTTTCAATATCTACAAGGACATTTGTTTGCGGAAAAGATGATTCGATGTAACGATAAGTCTATTTGTTTGTTCCTTTTGGTGAAAATTGCAGCAAAACAATAGTATCTGATATATGACTAAGATTAATGATAAAAGAAAAAATAAAAAACTTTTCAGGCTATTGGCTCTTTCATTGTCATTTTGAGCAACACGACAACATTGGAATGGCCCTGGTGTTCAAAGTTGGTGAGCACAAAACCATGCCTCCAGTACCCAAAAACTTTCCAACGTGCGGAGATTACGAACCCGAAATACCTGGTTTCAACCCTATGGGAAAATAAGTTAATTGTCAAAGTTTTTTGCTCGTTCTCATTGCTCCTGGCGCTACCGGGTCACTCCAGAAATGACTGATTTTTATGTTAACGGTACACGTTTGTGTGCACATGTACTTACTGTGTATGTGATATAGATTAATAAAATGTTATTATTACTAAATAATCACAAAAAAATTGTTTATTTATAATTTATATTGCTGCATGATTGATGAATTTTAAAGTAAAAATAACAAAATGGATTTTCTTTGCCTTTGATTAGCACACATTCGAATTTATTGTTCATACATACATCGCAAGACCGCGCACGCCAATATCGCTTACTTATTTATGAATTCGATTTATACTCCGAGCATCGGTGTAATGAAAGTGTCCACTGGCGCCAGCTTTCGGTCTTTGCCTTCATTACGTTCGAGTTTCTGGTGATTCGAGGATAATTGAAGTTTTCTACCGTAACAGTCCAAATACTTTAAATTTCCGCTCGTGTATCCCAATTTATTTAATGAATTGCTATTTTAATAGAAAAAAAAAAAAAAAAGTATTTTCGCACAATTTAACAATTTTCAAGAATTAATCAAGTCTGAATTTAGCGACATTATTTGGAGTTCCAGAATAAACGCATATTATATAGTGTTTGAGAAGGCTCATATATTTTACAAACTAACTGCTTATTTCATGAAATTCAGATACACAGTTAATTAGACTATCAGGAATCAGTATGATATGATTCAATATTTTTTTATCGAGTAACTTTTCAATCTACAATACAAAACAATGAAGCTAGAAATATCCACAAGAGCTTTTCTAAAAGTATGTATTTTTCTGTAACTCGTATCATAAATTATTAAATGTGTCATTAGTAAATGTGTTTATTCGTACCTTGTGTATACTCATAAATATATTATTAGAGTTGACATGTTTTTTGCCCTCCATTATTATTAATATAAGATGATATTGTCCATCTATTGGGGCAAATGATAAAGTAAACACAATATTTTCACTGCAACGTTTCGTCGATTGGTGTGCCGACCTCTTCGGACTTTATTAAATAAATAAATAAATGTACAATGATTATTAAAAAAAAAAAAAAAAAAAAAAATAGTAATAACAATCCCTTGAGAACAAAATTGTTTATTTCAGCTGGTAAGAAAATTAATAATTTTTTGGTATATGTAAATTGATTTTTTTAGTGCACCAGATAGAGAATGTATGGTATGTCATAGTAGGCAAAAATTACAGTAAAATAATCGGTACACGGTAAATATGCAGATTTTTTTGACGAAAAATTTAACTATTTTCCAAACAGTTTTTTTCTTTTAAATTCAAAACATATGTTTTTAAATAAAGATTAAAATTGAAACTAATTTTAAAAAANAAAAAAAAAAAAAAAAAAAGAAGGTTTTCGCTCTATATCCCCCAAAATCAATCCAAACGAGTCCTTAGGTAATTGTTGTATCCTTGAGAAGCCATGTATAATCTACATCCGTTTCTCGCGCATTACTCAAAAGGCCACGTCCGTCTTTTAAAACTCCTCGTGTTAAAAACTTGAAAAAGCTCGGAAAGCGTGTACTCTTTGCAGCCGCGATTCCTTGAACTGTCGAAAAGTAACACCGCATCCGCATAAAAGTGTAAGCCCTTCGAGTTGCCACGATCAATCAATCGCGAAAAAAAAAAAGAAAAAAAAAGAAAAAAACAAAGCTTGTAAGCACCGTATCTTCAAAGTATCGCATGCATCGAGACACGGCGTCGCTCGAAGACTAGCTTGCTTATACACAAGCAAACACGAGACTTGTACCTGTTGGGAGGGTGCGATGATCGAACCATCGGCGTCAGTAGCAACGCGCGACATGCCTATGCTGCGGGTAGGGCCATTAGCCGGCGTGCCTGCGCATGGGTGTAGTGCAATATCCGATAGGTATGCCGCGGGTCGCGAGCGACACTGGACTTATAGCCGCGAGGGTTCGGCCCGTGCGGCGGCCCAAGCCTAAGGTATTGTATTTTTTTTTTTTTTTTTTGTTTGTGTTGATTAAATTGTTCCGATTTTTTAATTCATCGAACAGTTTGTGTCGTTATTTCGTGTTGTTGAATTAGGAGTTGGATGCTGCGATTATGGTTTTTACGAATTTTTGTTTTTCAAGGATTTGTACGCTTATTTTTTTCTGAACGAATCGTTTATCTTTGGTAAATTTTTTCGGGGCGCACGTATTTTCAGAAGATTAAATTCTTCACCTCTTTTCCCAACACTTGAGATAAGCTAGTACATTTCATAAAAGAAAAAAAAAAATACACCGTCATTTTCAAACGCTAGAAAGTGGAGTTGTTGGGTTTATCAATGCCGGCGCCCTTCACCCTCCGGCCATTCGCTGGACTCTTCAACCCCTATCCGGACGGATGCTCTGTACTTTGCAATCATCCAGCTGACGGCGACGTCAAGGATGTAGTGCGCAAAGCGAAAGACAATTGGGTGCGGTATATCATTCATCTACCAAATATATATTGCACCTTTCTTTTGTTTACCTTTTAAGATTTTTAGATTTTAAATTTGAAAGAGTACTTTACACTTGATTGATAAATTGACTTTCACGTAAAAAATACATGTATGATTGAGTATGATATTTTTTATGTGTGTGTACACTTAGTAAAAGATTCTTAAAAGTTTCAGCATCTCTGTAATCAACGAAAAAACGTGTATTTTTTAAATTCTTGATATTTACCGTTAAACATGGTTAGCTAAGAAAATTGTTTCCAAAATTTTCAACTTTAAAATTTTCAATTCAATATACCATTACAACATATAATGTGAAATACTTTGCAAAGTGTCCGAGATGTATCTTTATTTTACGGTACATTATTATCGTAGTGTATATGTATAGTCATTAATTTTCACTGATTAGACTTTACCGTAAATAGTATGGAAAAACTTTTGGTGACTAAAGTAATGAAATTTATTTTCCTCATTTACCAATTTTTATTATTTATTCATTTACCTATAAAAATCTCTTTACAACAAAATTGAATGAAAATTATTTTCTACTTAAGTAACATGAGATTTTCTATAATTTGAAGAAGTAACTTTTTTAACTGCTCCAAATCACAGTGATTAAAGTTAGAACTATCTACTTAGTTTTTTTTTTTTTCAACCAGAAAAAATTTATTAATAATTCTACAGTGGTTTTGTATTTTTTACTTTTTTATTAAATTGTATAATTATCATTGGAAATTTTAAAAAATGATTCCGATGAATGTGATTTAATATTTTTTTAAGTTCTTGAAAAATTATTAGAACAGTTACAAAAAATTATTTCTAAAAATCGTTGGAAGTAACATTATTGGAATAAGACATGAAATGTTAATGTAATTTTTATCAGGATTTTACGATTACGACTCGTAGTGTAGGCTACAAAAAAAGAGAAGTAACGCACGCTATAATGAAAATATTGAGTTTCGAACAACGCATTTTTGAAAGGCACACGGATGTCGTTGGGGGCAGAACTTTTGACGGATTCAATTGACACTTTTATCTAGTAACTATTGAACTTTTTCGTACTAATTAGAAAAAAAAAAAATCCTAATGTAAGGGGCGGGTTGATACACATAATATACCAAGCCCGACTATAATCGGACATTACTACTTGCACCATCGGCAGAACGAATGATTTTACATTCTTGTCGCAAATCCAAGATCACTGGCTGCGCATAATTTTTTCTGTGACGCATCCACAGACAAACGAGGGCAAGGCTCTGCTGCTCCCAGGTGATGTTGAACTGATAAGAGCCGGCTTACGTCCCGTTCCTCGTCAAACGGCCGAGCACGATGACGCTCTGGACGCGACCCAAGTACCCGAGGAGCTGTTCCGCCACTACACCGAGACGGACTCAAGGCCAACGAGTCCTCAGCCCGGGGTTGCTCCTAACGTCGCTCGGCCAGTCGATACCGTTGCTCCCGAGCCCCCTCGGCCGACTCTCGTCCTCGACTTGAGAGCCAGTTCGCACGAAGTACAGGTGAATGATTCTTTTTTTTTTTTTTTTTTTTTTCGAGCGAAAATCATATTGAAACTTTTCAAGGAAAATGAGACTCTGAGCTGGCACGCCCTGACGCTAGAGCCCATACCGATGAGTACGCGCAAAAGTGACATGTCCTCCCCGATGGCCGCGCGTCGCAAGACCCCGGTATCCTCGCGGGGCCGATTGGTAACTTCCACCTCCCCGATTCGTATCGTGCCCATTTTAGAGGTAAGTAAGAATTTTCAAGCACAGTATGGCTTTGTGTATGATTGCCGTTCGAGGTATAAAATATATAGTGCGAAATGAAGCAAACTTGGAAAATTCGATGTGGCACTTGCACCAATCCCAACAGGAATGATCTCTCTCGCGAGAGCCGAGTACAACACATCCATCCGGATAACTGTACGAAATGTGCCAGTCGTTGAAGTAGACGCCGGTAACATCGGTAACATCAACAATGACACTGCGATTGAGGAAATAACTCGTGTATTCTGCAAAGTTGTAGTATTTTGGATGTTGGACTAACGATGACTATGTTTTTTCTCGGGAAATTCTTTTTATCTTCAAGTGATTGGGTATCGGGAATGTTCCGCGGTCTCATGATATCGTTGTCGTGACACATAAACGTGTGGGGAAACAGATATACCAGGGAAAAAGATAAAACATGAGGGACGAATCAGGGATACACATAGAAAACACGATCCCCAATTTTTATTTAAACAATTTTTTAGTCAAGTCTTGAAGCTGCGTACGAAAAGCTATTTATTATTGATGTACTACACCTCAAGGTTTCTGGACGCTTGATAAGTTTGTGATTAGACACAGTAATACACATAATAGAATCTCGTTGGGACTTAAAAAACCGTACGATTGTTTTTCGATTGTTATGTTTGCCGCTCGAATAAACACAAAACTAACTCATTACAGGTAAGCGACGTGGGATCAGCCCGCAGTGCGCCTACAGTAGGTGCCGGTCACGCCGACATCGACGAAGAAGGCGAGGAGGACGAGGACGATGACAATAGCTCGCTGGATAAGTCATCGCCGATGCGCCGTCGGGGAAAGCTGCGCCGGAAGAAGCGCAAGACGAGGCGCTGCTCGATCTACGGACTTGATCAAGTGCGCGAGCCACCGGACCCCCTCGAGACTCAAGTCTCGCAGATCGACGAAAGCTCCAGGCGGGGATCGTACGCGTCATTTGTTTATAAATATCTTTGCTTTTGTTCGCAAACGGGCTGCAGGAAATTTTTCAATTTCATCTTTAGTTTTGTTTTTTATGTCTCGGTAATTTTTTTTTTTTTTTTTCAACTAGATGGTGTAAGAGTTATTGATGTTTTTAAGTCAAACACTCGTTGATAAAATGGTTCATACAAACTTGTTAGCTAAATTAGTTATTTACCAGTAATAAAAGTAATGTAAGCCTTCAAGTAGTATAGATCAATCATCAGTCAGGCAACGTTGTTTTTGTATCGTTTCGATGCCAAAAACAATTGAAACTATTTTTGTAGTAAGTATAGTTTCAAAAAGGTGATCAACACTTGAAGATTAGATACTTAAAATTAGTTTTTACAAAATTAGTACATAAAAACAAAGAGCTTACAGTACTGCGGAGCCAGTAGTAAGTATCAACCGATAGTCAGCCAAAACGGTATTCCTATTATATCGATTATTGAAAAAATTCCGGTTACTTTTTAAAGCACAATTCCACAGTCTGGATCAATAACTGAATATTTGATTGGTTTCAGTAACGAATCGCGACTAGAAGAAACGGAACAAACTTTGCTGGACAAGGCAGCGCTGCCAATCATCAAACACGACATGCCACCGAGTTTCCTTCCCCCCGATGTTCTCAAAGAACTGAGTAGGCACTTGGATCAAGAAACCGTGGAATGGGAATTTAACGCGAAGGTTATCGTAAAATCCAAAATAATAATAACAATTCAATATTATTTATCTTTGTTTTCGAAACGTTCATCAAATTGTCATTTTATCATCATCAATTCATGACAATGTCCTCGAATAAGTTATTCGAATATCTATAATTAAACTTCACTCAATTTTCGTTTAATCATCAACTATTTGTACTTTTTCATTTCTTAACAAATAATCGCTTATGTAACAAACATTTTTAATCGAAAAGAGACGCGATGCCAAACGCACCTTAGCGAACTTATCTCCCCTTTACACTAACGAAACCAGCATTGAATATACTTTCGGGTTGATAAATTAAGGCGTAAATAAAATTTCATTGTTACAAATGACACAGAGAAGATTTGCTCTGGAGGAAGTTTTGCGGGTTACGGCGGACCTCAATCCAGCTGGTAGAGGAGCCCGACAGTTACCCTTCCAACCAACGGTTCCGAACGCGCCCCGGCTATTTTATCGACAAAGCGCCAGATTCGAGCTTCTCGACAGCCACTCCCTCGTTGGTAATTCATACGATTTCTTTTGGATGCTTTCATCACTTCCTTTTCCTAAATTCGACGCTCATTGTCCACACTTTATCTCTTACTGTTCTCATGTGGTCCGCCATAAATGACAGTTAACACTGTTACCGAAATTCCTTAACGTACTAACAAATTGTAACATAAAAATTTCGATAATCATTTCAAAATTGCTAAAATTGATTAACGCGTTAGAACAGTATGAATTGCTACGGGAGGTGAATTATCCAGTGAGAGACAAGCTTGACAACCTCGTTGCACCATGGTAGAGGAAATTTTTGTTTGTTGAATCGCGATAGGTCTAGAGCCCCTGGATTACCTGGGCCAGCACGTGTACGCGAGCGAAACGCGGAAACTGATCTTCGAGCGCGCGTTCAGCCGTCACCGCGAGGAGACCAGCGAAGGTCCCCGCCAGCTGCAAGGCAGCAACCTGTACGAGGCTCTGGCCGAGGTCCTGGGCCGTTCCGTGAGCTCCGACGAGATCACCCGGTTGGACGGCATCCTCGGCGACGTGGGCGAACGGAGGCTGGACTTCAGGACGTGGTGCGGCGTGTGCGCCCTCGCCGAGAGGATTCTGCCCGAGTTGCCGGATAAAAGCGTGGATCAGGCCTTTTGGCTCGAGAGGACGGATTTTGAGATGCTCGAGAGGAGGTTGAAGAGCGTCGAGGTCGACCGGAGACTCGCTGAGATGCTTAGGCTCGTCAGGGATAGCTGAGTTTGAACCGTAATGTGCGAGGGAAAAAGATGGGGTTTCGTGGCATCTAAAAATTGAATATGTTGAGAAAAAAAAAAAAAAAAAAAAATTAATTCAGAGTACACTTATATAGTGGCTGATTGGAACGCGTTTAGTTGAAGGATTTTTAAATGTCAAAGAAATCCTAGTGACTGGTATTAATAGCAAAAAGGAGCGGTCATGTTCAACAGTTCGTAACGCTTGTACAACGTTTGTTGGACTTTACGAGAAACGCTTTTTTGTTATTGTTTCTCTCAATATTTTAAAAGCTTTATTAAAAACGTTACGTTCTATTAGATACTGAACAAATATACTTATACACATTGGATTTTTTCCATCATGAGTTTCCATTACCCGTATCAAAGTTACTTTAACAGAATACTAATGGGTTACATGAGTTTTTGATTATCGATAAAAAATAATGTTTTTACGTGTATGGCCTGCAGTATTTATGATTTTTGAAGTCCATTACTATGAAATCCTTAATTTAATATTTTTAAGGAAGTCGTCTTTAGAGGCTGCGTGGTCATTACCAGCCAATCAAATAAAAAATGATAGTGCTCTATCGTGTGTGCCCATTTAAAAAAAGATGACGTACTTACGTAGGTAATAAGATAACGAAGATGAAAGAAGTGCATTAATTTTGTACACGAATTTTGTAAATCATTCGGCAACGATGTGAGAAGGTGTGATTCTTATGTTTTTAGTCAATAAATATTTTATTTGAAATAACACATTGTTATCCTTTTACATAACACAATTTTTCTTTTTTTTTTTTTTTCAAAAGTCAACATAATGACGGTGTTAAAACTAATACAAGTATACTCCATAAATAAATAAACGAACTGATGTTATGATACAAGTTTTTTTTTTTTTTTTTTTTTTTGTTATTTCGAACGCGTAAGTTACATTAAAAAATAGATTTTTTTACAAAGATCCTGACGATCAGAATTTTTTTGACGTGTTCGCCTAGTCCATTAGTTTTTATTCAACTAAACATACTAACAAAAAAAAAACAAAAAAAAAGTGAACCATAATTGTTTTTATTCATATCAAGTTTTTTGTTTTACCTTAGACGATAAATAAAGTAAAGTGTAAAAAATTGTAAAAAAATGTGGGATCGTCTTGAAATTCATTTATAAATTGACAAATGAAATGAACACGAGTCCATTCGATGCAGAATATTCTTGATAATAATAAATAATATTTGTTTTTGTTTGATTATACTTATCATTGGATCAACGAAAAATTTGCTTACAAAACTTTTGTCAACGACAATGCGTACCGTCTTATCATATAATATGCGATTCTATGTCTATATATGTAGGTAATTTACAGTGTTAACATTTAAGTTGAGTTTTATTGTTTCTTTTCTTTAAATTTTCCTTCTGTTTGTTGCTTACAAAAAATTTGTCAACAGTATACTCTCGAAATCGATAAAAACAAAAAGAAAAGTATACATTGTTCATTGTTTTTTGTTTGTTTGTTTGTTTTATACAATAATCTATATATATTTAATTATACGTTGTGCGATATTTTTGTTTTTATTATTCATTCTAAATGTCAAGACGATTAAAGTTAACCCTTTTTCAAAAAATTGACTTTAATCTTGAGAATCGACGCTTTTTTGTATTTCTTCATTGTTATTTTTATGTATATAATATTTATACGTTCTTCTTAACTAAAACGATGTATATATTGTTCTTATATTCATTTAGTCTACATACGACTAAAACGTTTAAAAAAAGTGTTTCTCTCATTACATCCATAGATTCGCAGTTTCGTCGATGTAAAAAACACTTACACATTTGTCGTGAAATATTAATTTTTGTTTTTCACTTGTCATCGACGATTACTCACAAAGAGATTGGCAATTGAGATCCAACCCAACTAAATTGCCGATTGATACACACTCAGTGCGTTCGGATGATAGTAATCTTCGTGCATCTAGTAACAGATCCCAGAAAATTGAGCATAAAGCATTGAGTGAACACCTCGTTGAACATACATTCACAAACATATCCACCATATAATTTGGTCGAACCAAAAAATCACATTACTTTATTTTCTTCTTCTTCTCGAATTTATCAGTAACTGTGTATATATTCGATCTAAACAATAACATTACGTTCGCGTAGCGTACTCTACTTTCTATTTATACGTTCTTTACACACGCGCGCACTTTCACACATAGAGGCAGAGAGATAACTGTCTCCAAGAGCTTGCACTTTAGCGGCCACCTGTGCCGTTCTTTTTTACCTTCAAATTTTCTAATTTTTTTCTGAACTTTGCGTCTCATCTATTCGATCACTCGTGTAAACGTAATACAGCAATTAATTATATCTGAAATAATGGTATGTACGTGTGCCTACGATGTCAAATAATTCGACTTGTTCTATTTTTCTTTCTACAGTATTTTTTTTTCTTTTTTTTTTTTTTTTTTTAATTTTTTTCACCTTAATCTTTTATTTATACTTTGAGTTTTTCATGCTCGCGATAGACTATACCCTACATAGGTTCTCTTTAAGTATTCTTCATATGATTAGTTTCTCCTTAATATTTATTTTTCTCAGTTCCCGTCACGTGTACGCTCGTGACGCGTTTCGCTTTTTGTGTACAGCGGACATGTGTATACATATATTTGTCTCTTATTGTGATTACATGTATGTCTCATTTGTGTATGTACATAAATCGATATACGTGTGTATGTATATCATAATTGTGACCCCGTCAAATATCCATGTGTACATGTAATATCAATGGTGTGTACCGTCTGAAAGAGAAGTTATTGAAGGATTAAATATAAGTGCCAGTGATATTTAGCAAATGTTGCGTTAAAAAATCTTTTCTTTGTTTTTCTCATCATATTTGTTACTTAATTATTGTAATATCACGCGCATACTTCTAAATGTATAAGGAATTAGCATTATTATTTTGTAACAAAAGCTATAATTGTTGCCAGTGAAGATACACAGATAGAAAGACAGATTGTTTCATTGACTGCAATGAGAATTGCAATGTTTGTATCATTTGCTAATTTCATTTTTTTGTACGATTCACCTTCATCGTTTCGATTTTTTGTTCTTTCTTTTTTTTTTTTTTCATAATTATT